GATCATCATCATCATGACCATCCACCTCATCATCATCATCCAGATCATCATCATGACCATCCGCCTCATCATCATCATCCAGATCATCATCATCATCATGACCATCCACCTCATCATCATCATCATCCAGATCATCATCCAGATCATCATCATCATCATCATCATGACCATCCACCTCATCATCATTATCATCACAGACGTGAGCGCGTACAACGTCATATAATAAGCACCAGAGATTCCACTGATGATGATGACGATGGCGATGATGACTACGACGACGATGATGGCGGTCCTGATGACGATGATTATTATAATGACGACGATGAAGAAGGTGCTAGTGATGTTGCTGTAGATGGTGGTGGTGGTGGTGGAGGTGGTGGTGGTGGTGAAGTTAAGACAAGTAAAATCAGCAGCTCCCATCAAAGAACGAACAAACGCTTAAAATCTCACAGTAGAGATATCCTAAACAACAACAGCGACAACTCAAACAAAAAAATTAACATAAACAACAAAAACGTAGAAATCAAAATTAACAGCAACAACAACAACAACAACAACAACAACAACGATTACGTCACCATAATTCTTCGCTTCAGCCGCGCACGCAACTTCACAAAACTCCGACTACACGTCAACAACCAGTTCACCCAGAACTCCAGAATATTCCGGAAATCCCGCCTACGCTTCCGAAACCGGGACACCGACCCCTGGCAAGGTGACCCAATTTTCGAGACGCACCCTCGTGACTTAATTAGTGAGGGGGCACGGTGGGTGAGTCTGAATATGTGTCAGAGGGTGGGTGTGATCGTCGAGGTCAGTCTGTGGTTCGATGCCCGCTGGCTCATGATCAGTGAGATGCAGGTCAAGTCTGGTAGGTTCTTTGTTCGTCATATTTGTTTGTTCGTTCGTTCGTTCGTTTGTTTGTTCATTCGTTCGTTCGTTTGTTCGATTGTTTGTTTGTCTGTTGTTGTCATCATCGATGTTATCAAGTCATCCAAACAAGCAACATTATTTTCAGTATATTCTTTGACGCCATCTTAATCATCGTCGTCGTTTTCATCGTTACTATTATCATCACTACAACCAC